CCAAAGTGTCGCAGGTTCGATTCCCAGTCAGGGTACATGCCTGGGTTGCAGGCCATGACCCCCAGCAACCACACATTGATGCTTGTCTCTCTCTCTCTTTCTCCCTCCTTTCCCTCTCTAAAAATAAATAAATAAATAAAATCTTTAAAGAAAAAAAAAGAAGTATAGTGGACTCAAACTGTCATATGTAATCAGGTACATACACATAGGTTGGTGTTGATAGAACATGTCACATGCTGAGACTGGTGTGTGTTTGTGTGTGTATTGCTGAGACTTTGCAAAATCTCTCCCTCAAGATGCATTAAGGCAGGATGAGCTTGGGACTTGGAGCCAGATGGCCAACTCACCAACTTCACCAGCACCTGTTAATGATGTGACTCGGGGCAAGTCACTTCGCCTTTCTAGGCCTTGATTTCCTTATCAGTAAAGTGGGCACAATAATAGAACCTACCTCACGGGGTCGTGGTGGGGATTAAATAAGTTAATATATGCAAAGCACTCGGTCGTGCCTGGTACACAGTGAGCACTCAGCAAATGTTAGCTGTGTCACTACAGTCCTTAAGGTTGCGTTCATTCTCCCTTCCCCACAAGACAGGCAATTCATCTCTTCTTTGTACATAACATTGCACATATTTTCCTATTAATTATCTAAGCACTTTGAATTCTCATTTCAGTGTATGTGTATAGCCACAGTCACCCTCCGCATGCATGTAAGTTTGACTCTGTGAACTAAATTTAGCAGCAGCTACCAAATTTGCATCACCTCCTCGTCTATTTATTAATACCACTTTCTATGTCTTCAGTGTCATTTCTGGCTAATTTTTAAATAGACTCATCCATCACATGATTATGAGAATGACACAGAGGATTCAAACACACACACGATGCAATTCTCATAAAAAAATAACATATAAATTATATATATATATTTATTTAAAGAGACAACTTTATTTTGTTAATGGCTTTACATCTTCTTCCTGAGGCCTATGTTGATTTCTTTTAAGTCCTGGTAGTATGAACCACATTCGTTTTCATGACTGTATAACATGTTATCAGAGATCTTTAAAGGAACCAACTAGATTATAACATAGTAGTCTTTTGATTCCCAGGAATAGAGCTCTTGACCATAAAAAAAGGTGATAAACATGGTATCTCTTACTTCCTACGTATTTTCTGTGATGTGCCTGGCCACCTCGCCTTTATGGAGAAGACTGAACTTGCGCTTACATTCTTGGGAATTGGAGTCAGTTTATTAGCTTTGTCTTAACTAAACCGGTGCCCTGCAGTAAGAGCAGGGATATCACAGCCCCTTGGCAATCCTCCCTTTTCTCGTTTGTGATAAATTACCTACCCTTTGGCCTCTGATTACGGACCAAGGAAGCAGGTTATTGCTTTGTTGAACTGAAAGGGAAGTATATTATTGTTTAATTTTTAACTGCAAGCATTGGCATATTGTATTAGGAGCAAATAGATCTGAGCGGCTGCTTGTCTAACGCTGAAGCAGTTCTGGGCTTCTTTCATGAGGACTTTATGGAAGACTGTTGGCAGACTGGCCTTCTGCTCTGATTGGCGGACGTGTAGGTGAGGAAGGCCCGTCTGCATCTCCAGCTAAAGAAACGAGGAGGTGTCTGTTCTCCCAGGGAGTGAGACATTTGCTAGACCAGTGTTCACAGACTATGGAGGCAGTTGGTAGAGTATTGCAAACATGTTTTATTATTTTTAAAAATTTTATTAAGTTGAGGTGGGGGGAGAGGGAGTGCAAGAGAGAAACATCACTTTCTTGTTCCAGTTATTTATGCGTTCATTGGTTGTTCCTTGTATGTGCCCTGACTGGGGATCGAACCTGCAGCCTTGGCGTATCTGGATGCTGCTCCAACCAACTGAGCTAGCTGGCCAGGGCTTGTAAATAAATGTGTTTTAAAGGAGATTCCCTCCATTGAAAGCAGGAGTTTTACACACTAAATTGCCAACAGTGGACATTTCTTTAGAGAAGGATTAGGTGGATGGTCAGTGAGTCGGGATGGCTTCCATTTTTTACTTTTTATGTACTGATATTCTTTGATGGTTTAAAAATAATGGATGCAAATCACACTCGTAATGAAAATGATTGCGACAAGGACTAGTGGTTCTCAAATGCTTCTGATTTGGGAGCAACACTCTGAGCCTTTATCCTGTCCTTGCTGAAGGTTAAACAGTTGTCAGCATTTGTGTATATCTTTTGGAAGTGATCCTCTCCCCAGGGCTGTAGCATGATGAGGCATGGTTGAATAGAGAACCGAAGAAATGTGACAGAGGGGTGGAGATAACAAATGAGGTACTATGGACAAACCAGGATTGTAGAAGTGCTGACCGTAAGGAACTGACTTTGTGGGAGAGGAAAGCGAGCCCTTCCGAGGGTGTGTTAGTTTGCCAGGGCTGCCGTGATCAGGTCCCACAGACTGGGCAGCTCAGACTATGGACATTCACTTTCTTGCAGTTCCGGGGGGTGGAAATGGGAAGCAAAGACGCAGAAGATTTGCCCTGGCTGGTGTAGCTCGGTGGACTGAGCACGGGCTGCGAACCAAAGTGTTGCAGGTTCAATTCCCAGTCAGGGCACATGCCTGGGTTGCAGGCCACGACCCCCAGCAACCGCACATTGATGTTTCTCTCTCTCTCTCTCTCTCCCTCCCTTCCCTCTCTAAAAATACAAATAAAAATAAAATCTTTGAAAAACAAGATGCAGAAGATTCTGTTCTTGTTGAGCACCCTCTTCCTGGCTGCCCTCTCCGTGTCCTTGTGTGGTCTTTCTGGGAGGCTGCACCTCCCCGGCATTTCCTAATCTCTTCCATAAAGACGGCAATCAGGTGGGGTTAGGGCACACCTGAGCAACCTCAGCAGAACTCAATTAACCCTTTAACGGTCTTATCTCTGAGACAGTCACATTCAGCGGTTCAGGTTTCAACGTAAGAATTTGGGGGGTCACAATTCAATCCCCAACAATACATACATTCTCCTGGAGCTTTTTATTATTATTGCAGATTTCAGTGAAAATAAGTTGGAAAGGAGAATGACTATGAACATTCAGACTCAAGCTATCTGATGATCATTTATTGAACAACAGCGGATAATCAGCACTCCATTGTGCAAAATACGGAAAATTAAAACTGAAGATCTAACTGAGGTGCAAGCCAAGTGATGCTATACATTTATGGCATGAAGAGTAATCAAGAAGGAAATTAAGATGAGAATGTATGCATTGTTGGGGGTTGAATTGTGACACCCAGAATTCTTATGTTGAAACCTGAACTGCTGAATGTGGCTGTATCAGAGATAAGACCTTTATTTTTTTTTAAGATTTTATTTATTTATTTATTTTAGAGAGGGAATGGAGGGAGATAGAGAGAGAGAGAGAGAAACATCAATGTGCGGTTGCTGAGGGTTATAGCCTGCAACCCAGGCATGTACCCTGGCTGGGAAGTGAACCTGCGACACTTTGGTTCCCAGCCCGAGCTCAATCCACTAAGCTACACCAGCCAGGGCAGAGATAAGGCCTTTAAAGAGGTAATGAAGCTGGCATTTCTGAAGTTCATGTGCTTTATTTTGAAATCTTGCTACTAGTATAGTGAAGGGACTTCTGTTACTCAATTATTTTTTAAAGAAAAACAGACATGGAAAGAAGTATAAACATTAAGCACATTGAAACTTTAATAGGAGGTGTTATTTAATAACAAAGGAAATGTTTACCTGGTACCGAATTCAAAATCCTTTTAAAAGCCTAATCAAAGAAATTTGATTATAGTATATATTTAGGAAAATGTTTGTAGGATTATGTCAAGATTTGAGAAGTAATATCACCACACTTATAATAGAAAATATAACTCTTTTTTTAAAGATTTTATTTATTTACTTTTAGAGAGGGAAGGGAGGGAGAAAGAGAGAGAGAGAGAAACATCAATGTACAGTTGCTGGGGGCCGTGGCCTGCAACCCAGGCATGTGCCCTGACTGGGAATTGAACCTGCAACACTTTGGTTCACAGCCCATGCTCAATCCACTGAGCTATGCCAGCCAGGAGAAAATATAACTCTTTACAAGTTTCTTTACAATTTTTTTTTTACTAATTTTAGAGAGAGAGAAGGAGAGAGAGGAAAAGAAAGAGAGAGGGAAACATCAGTTTGTTGTCCCACTTATTTATGCATTCATTGATTGCTTCTTGTATGTGCCCTGACCAGAGACTGAACCCACAACCTTTGGTGAAATGGGATGATGCTCCAACCAACTGTGCTAGTTGGCCGGGGCCACAATTTTCTAACTCTGAGTTATCACAAGAGGTTTTTATATTCCTTAGTGTTTAGAATGCTGAGTGCTTCAATTATTTCTAGAATTTGGTTTTTTACACTGGCTGGCAGCCTTCCAATTTGACATGTACCACATGCTCTCTGTGTTGGTACATTTCTTTTCCTCTGGAGTTTGGCACATAGTAGGTAGCTAGTGAAATATTTTATTATCAAGGTCAAGGTAGTGTAGGAATTTTCCTGTACATTTGACTCTATTTTGCACAATTGAATATGTACACTGAATTATGAAGATTGCATGGTATTTGCATGGTTAAGACTTTAGCTATTGTGTTGGTTGTCCAAATAATTATCTTAGATCCTAAAATACTTTAACTTGAAATGTTTATAAAATACATGTTAAAAGTTTGTTTTCATTTCTTTTCTCAAATTACCTGTGTTGGGCACAGCATGGCAGTAAAAATATGTACGGGTGTGTGCATAATGCTAGCTTTGCCACTTGCTGGCTGCGTGAAAATAGGCAAGTTACCTGCTGAGTCTGTGCTTCAGTTTCTCGTGAGAAGTGGGGTAGCGTTCATACCTACCTACCTCTTAGGGTTTTTCTCGAGAGTAAAGGAGTTGGTCAGCGTAGAGCTCTCAGCAGATCGCCCGGTGCCATATAAGTGCGGTGTTTGCTTTTCAGATGCTTTTATCAGTTCACGGGAAAGGTGTGTAGACACTGCCCTGACCTCCAGCCCAGCTGGTCTTTCTGTGTCCTGCACTTGCGATGTCACTCAACTAAACAAACAAACCAGACAAAATGATTTCACTGACCAAAGGTGTCCCACCAGCAGAGCACAGTTTAACCTGGGAAATGAAGGTTTATGCTTCCCAGGCCAGAGCTGAGCCAGGCTACCAGTCTACACTGGCATCCTTGGAAGGGCGGCGCCCTCGCATCCTGCAGTGCCGGGGAAACGAGCCGATGGAAGGGAAGTCCAGACAGGTCGGAGGAGATTTCCCTACAAAGGAGTCACTTCGGTCACTTCAGGAATCTGATCAGAGTGCAGAATGAGCTTTTCCCAGCACACCACAGGCGTGGCTTCTAACAGACAGGGTGGGGACTCGGCAGGACACCAGGGGCCAGCAGGGCCATGTCCAGCAGTGAAGAATCACATTCTCACAAAAACAGAATCACAAGCAAGCTGCATGCATGGACTTGGATCTGTAGCAACTGAGAGTCCCTGGGAGCCTTGGGAGGCTGCCTGCTCTATACTGAGATGCCTCCGGGTGCAGCCCTGAAGCTAACCACCTGGATGTTGTCGAGGCCCTCACGCTGGCGGTGTGGCTTTGGACTGGTCCCTTCGTCTTTCTGGACTACGGTTTCCTCCCGGCTAAGTGAGAGGACAGGGTAAAGTGTCTTTAAATGATCTCCCAAATCCAATGGTCTGTGACCCTGCGGTGCAAATGGAAGCGCTGTCAGCAAAGACAGGCATCACGGACTCACGGACACCCCTTCATGACAGCAGAATCAGGGCTTCTGCAACGATATCGTGAAATAATTTTTTTTAAAACCCGGTTTTTCCTCACCCTGTTCGGTGATGATAAAATGAGAACTGGAAATGAACTAATTTGGATTCCTAATTTAATTGTAATTTTTTCGAAGCATGTTGACTTTTCAGAAAAAGAAGCAAATCCAAAGAAAACAATTTGTTATAAAAACCAAATATCCTCAAAAGCCATTGTCAGGGCCTAGCACCGTTCAGCTCTAGCTCCTGTGATTCCTCTCATCTTGCCCGTGCCACCGTGATACGTGAGGCTCAGTAACATGTCCCTGAAGTACCTAAGGCAGGTTAAATTACCCTAACTAGTCTATACTTAGAAGTAAATGCCCTGATATTTTTTATATCCTTGCAGCTACAGTAGAGAAAGCTTTTTGATAATAGCTGCAAATCAAACGGGTTTCCTGCAAAACTTAGATGAGAAAATTCAATGTGCCAGACCCGAGTTTGATGAGCAGTATCGTTGTACAATGCTGCCATTTCACTGAGACTCTTGCCTTCACTCAGGCAAGTTACTGCACTCTGTGGTGCTCTGTTCTCAGGCAGACACAGGGTAAGTGAGGAGATAACGCTTACGATGCCGTTTTAATCTCTGAAGTCCTGTTGGAAGTCAAGTCCTCTACTTCTTCTGTCTCCTGTTTGAAAGATAGTTGCATTTATTTTTACTTTGCTTCTCCCCCAACCCCCTCTGCCTCCTGTCATCTCGGTAGTACCAGTGGATGCCATTAAGTGCCGACCAAGTGATGGTCTCCGGGAAAGGACATGTGACTACTCTTCTCCTTTGCAGCTCGCAGAGCCGGACTTCGGGTGTTTTCATCACCCCCTTAAACCCTGCCTGGAGAACAGATGGAGAGATTAGCAGGTGACGAATCCTGTGTTAGCTGCCTAATGCAAGGCTGACGTTTTCAGGGAATTCCATCAACCAAATACCTAGCAACTACTTGACAGGCTAGGTGTAAGACATGTCATCCTTGGCCCTCAGCGGGGTATGTTCTTGACCAGGGAAGCGAGTGCTCGCACATCTGAGATACTCAGAGAATTCTAAAAGCCAAACTGAAGGTGCTTACTCACTGTAATCGCGTCAGAAGTGTGTGGAAAGGAGAGGTGTGGGTTCGGGATCCTCGGCAAATCTAATGGAGGAAATTGGAGCTGTAGAGCATTTCTAAGGAAGAACAATATGTACGATACTCTCATGCATTCCTCCACTGGGCAAATATTTCTTTAGTGGCTACGATGCGTTGAACTTCTCTCAGTGCTAGGAGCGCAGCGGTTAACCACGTGGGAAGAAGCTTTGCCCACATGGGGCTTTCATTCTAATGGAGATAAGTGAGGAAAAACTGAATCAGTCAAATAGATGTTATGTCAAAGGGTGATAACTACTGTGAAATGAAAAGAACATTTAGGTCAGTAAGTGAGGCATGGAGAGGTTTCTAAGAAGCGGCATGATCAGGTGGTATCGAGCTAACCGCTTTCATTTTAGAAGTGAAGAAACTGAACCTCAGACGGGTGAAGTAGCATAGCTGAGGTCACTCAGTTTCTAAGCAAGAAAGAGGGAAAGGAACCCTGGCTGGCGTAGCTCAGTGGATTGAGCGCGGGCTGCAAACCAAAGTGTCGCAGGTTCGATTCCCAGTCAGGGTACATGCCTGGGCTGCAGGCCATGGCCCCCAGCAACTGCACATTGATGTTTCTCTCTCTTTCTCTATCTTCCTCCCTTCCCTCTCTAAAAATAAATAAGTAAAATCTTAAAAAAAAGAAAGAAAGGGGGAAAGGGATAAAATCCAGGCTCACCATCTCCTGGTCTAATGTTCTTTCCAATATGCACACACCTGGACAGCCAAGTCACACAGCCCCAGAGGTGGGCATGAGCAGAGCGTGTGTGGGACCCGGGGGAGCGGACACTCAGAGCCGGGTGGAAGATATGATTCGATGGGGAGAACAGAGCCAAGGCAGAAAGCCAGGCCAGACAGAGACGTTTAGATTCGATGTGGCAATAGGAAAGACATGAATAAAATGCTCCTCAGAAAAATCGGAAAATATTTAGTTGATTATTAATTCATGCTTTTCTTATGTGCTTGTCTTCTTCCTTTCCTTCTCCCCCATAGTTCCCTGAGAAATAATTCCTTTGTCTACTGCTGTTTACCACGAGGTAGACTGTGATGTTATCTGATAATATCAAAGATACTAGGCTGTGGTTTGCTTCAAAATTAGAAGTAAGGCATTTTGGATAAACGTAAATATTTGATTGCAGTCTACATGTAGGGATTAAAAAGCTGGTGAAATGTATGTAGAGGGAGAACTGAATCTAGGCATTAGATTTGGATAAAACGAGCAAGTTGAATCAGATGCAGATTGAGAGGTGTTGCCCATACTTCCGTTACAAATGGGGAGTTAAGTACTCAAGTTCCTTCAGGAGCCAATCCATGAATTATAAACCAGATCACACATTTTCTTAAGTGCAGCCACCATTGTTGCTGATTCATTTTTATTCCAAACCTCCAGCAACTTGAGAGAGAGAAACACCACCAACAAAACACACCAACAGGATTTATTCACAGGTATAAAGATGTAGCAACAATGTAGGTGCAGAAATAGCTTTAGGTTTTACTTTTCTTTGAGCAAGAACAGGGATTTTAGGTAGGAAGAAAATATATGCATTCCACTGCTCACCACAACTTCAATAATCAGAAAATTATCAAATAGGACAAATAAATCTTATGGCTGTAGCTGCTGATCACATGTGAGATGTGGGTACTTACTTGGGCCCACATCTAAAGCACGCCTTGTCTGGATGTGTTTTGGAAAGGTTCTAGAAGCTTGTGAGTAAGGTGATTGCCAGGGGATGGTGAGCTGTTATCATATGAGAGTCATGGAATACATCTGAGGATTTAGCTATGCATTTGGGGGCCCATGCAAATCTTTAGGAAATGGTCTAAGCTCATGACTTCCAAGCAGGTATTCAATGCAATACAAAGGCTACTCAGATTTACACGTCATATGATTAGGGTGGGGATGGGGATAGTAGCCCTAATACTCACTTGCAAGTCATTTCTTATTGCAATTTTCCCACCTAAAAACCAAAATCACTGTGTAGTTAATGCAAAGTAACTCATTGAGAGGATCCCTCCTACTTGATCTCAGCCGCCTAGTCTCCTTGGGGTTGACGATCCATGAAACCAAGAGACCTGTGAGCAGTGAAGAAAATACCCGTCACTGAATGCAGGTATGCCATTGGAGGTCAGGAGAGGAGTCGCCCCCAGGACTTGACCCAGAGTACACAGCATATGCACAACAGAGTCTAGGTGTGTGGCCACGTGGAGCATGTACAGAAAGGTTTGGGCACGTGGCAGACAGATGGTCATGAAAAATGCCCTCTTTATTCACGCCACACATTTATTTCTGAGATAATTGAATATACATGAGAGGGAAAGTTTAGGTCCCCTAAAACCCTTGTCAGGGGTCTATATGTTGCTACATAGCTTGCCCGATGGCTTATAATAATGGTTCTAAGTGGCCAAGAAATGATTTCAACCCATTTACTCTGCTCAGTAAGGTACATAAGAATGAAACGTTCAGCTAGACTTCTGTCAAAATGGTTAACACAGAGAGTTTGTATATTCACAGAGAATAAAATGATGGTTACCAGACTGATGGGCCAACTCCACGCAAAAGGTGAAGGGGATTAAGAAGTACAAACTGCCTATTATAAAAATAGTCACAGGGACGTGAAGAACAGCACAGGGTATGCAGTCAATAATATTGTCACAACCTTGTATGGTGCCGGGTGGGTACTAGACTTCTGGAGGTGCTCACTTCATAAGGTATGTAGATGTCTCATCCCTGTGTCGTACACCTGAAACTAATATAATATTGTACTCCAGTATGCCATAATTGAAACATAATGGAAACATACATTTTAAAAAAGGAAAAATAAAACTTTTGTGTATTCAAAGGGGCAAACTTTCTTCAGAAAGTCCAGCTACATTAAGGGCTTCATTCCAAGATCAGGAGGAAAACTGAGTGCATTTACGCGGCCCACATCCTGTGCGCTCAGCAAAGCGGCAGGCACCCTGAGTGGTGGCGGAGGCTCCAGGAAGCGCCTCAGGACATGAAAGCCTCACTGGGGCCTTGAAGATTTGGCCTGTGTCTACCCCAGCATGCGAGGTCTTGGGGAAATGCAATTCCTTGCTCTCACAGATTGGGC